AGCAGAGGAGACAGCAACACTTGTAAGTGCGTACGTGTAAACATCACAGACTTCCGCATATACACAATGGACACATACCAATAAAACACCTTCAGCTTGCTCACTCCCGTCTCTTTCTTTATCTGGGCTTTTTTCTTCAAGGCTTGATTCCTCTGATGTGCGCTCCATATCCAAACGTTCCATTCCAAAACACGTTCAAATTCTTCTCCATCTTACTTCATTGAAGTTTCCCAACTGATACCACTTTCAGCTCCTTTCAACCTTGTGCAACAATCAGGGTTGGTTATGATGCCACGTGCTGTTCAAATAGATCTTGACTGTTATCGTATATTTGGATATTTTGAAGAATATCTCCACATGGATAGCAAGGATTTGGTTAGAATGGGATTACAGGCATGTAATTACAACTATTCAAACATTTCTTGTTTGAGAAGAGGGCCAGGAACATGACACACTCTGGATCCTCACAGACACTGAATACTCACATGTCTGTGCAGAATGCATTCTCATTTGAGTATTTTAAAGTTTATCCAAAAATGCTTTGGTTTTTATCTCCTTGCAATGATGTTATCGCTCTTTAACTTAATTGGGAAATGGCTGGTTGTTGAACACCTGCTCGACATTTCTGGGCATGTTCATTTAATGAGGTTAGACAAGAGCCTGGCATTTAGACTCTGACGTCAGTCTTCCTGCCTGCTTCCCATCTCAGCACAAGCATGAATCGTATTCAGCAACACATTATTAGCCCTTAAAGATAATATAATTAAGTATTACTAAATTAAGTTTTAAAAACACATGGTGTAAATGCAACACAAAGTGTTAAAAAATCATTTTATACAATAACAACTATTGGGCTCTAATAATGCAAATGATCATTTTATTCCTATTTCTTCTTAATTCCTCCATGCACCTACACTGTAATTGCACAGTAAGAACTTCAACCTGTGGTGAAAGATTGCCCGAGTCTTGTTGTTGGTTTGATGTTTCATTGCTTTTTAGCAGGTTCTATATCCAGTCACGCTTAGATGTGTCTTTAACAATAAAAGCTAAGTCATGGGACAGCAGCCTGTTCTACTTACTGACAAACTGAACAAAAGCTCAAGGTGAAAGACAAGTTACCATCTTGGACTTGAACTGCACTTGCGCAACTACTTCCACCTCCAAAATCCCTCAACTCCCCCCAAATAAAACAAAAACCTGTCTTCATTTGAACCAGCATCACAGGAAAAGAAACCGTTATTGAAGACAGTGCTGCAGGGATTTAAACTTGATTAGAAAGAGTGAAACACTAAATGTAATGCAAACTAAGCTCAGATAGAGAACAAAACACTGAGATTGAGGAGTCACTCAGTGCAGAGGCTGAAGGACAATATCTAGAGCAGAAAGACAGGTTAGAGGGTGGAGGAATACTAACTAACACTTATTTTAAAGATGTAAGAGTGGTGCTAAGTGGGAAAATGTCAGAGGAGTTGGAGAGGTACAAAGTTTTGAGTCAGTGATAAAGGCAACATGCCACCACAGACAGGTGATGAAACAGTCAGGTGAGGAAGCTTCATTTATGGACAACTGCTGCGGCTCAGTAACCAAGTTTCAGTCAAAGCATGATGCCAATGCAGTCAAGCACAATAAGGTCAGAAATGAGCTAGGGGCAACAACAGATGGGCAAACAGCGATAGCTTTTATTCTCGTTACCTGAGGTTCACAGAGTTAACTCTCCCTGCCTTAAGATTGAGAAAAATTACCATTTCCATCAGCAACCTAGATCTGCATGTGTTCAGTTCATGATCTGTCACAACAACTTTCAATGCAATAAAATATGCAAGGTTTTCCACGTAAGAATGAGACAGGCCAAATAATAAATGAATTCCAAGATAGATGAACAATTATGACTTAAAAGAGAGTGGCCAAGGACAGACTGTTTTAAAACATTTGGTCAAAGTGTGGGAAATCAGGGTCTTTTACAAAATTGAAATTTTCATAGTATAGCATGAGGTTTCATCTAACAACATGATCTAACTTTCCAAAACTCTTGCACATGAAAACAAAGGCAAAAATTGCAAAAAACACAGAGGTCATGATGCGCATTGAACAAGTGTAAACAATTTAAGTGGTGCCAAATGCACATTATCAGTGTATTATTTTTGTAAATAAGAAGTATTTGTTCTCAGAAAGAATGATAAACTAATGCTCAGATGAAAGGGGCATGAGGTCAATGGCTCATCAGACGTCATATGTAGTTGTCCCATGGCCAGTGGCCAAAACGGTACAACTGATTGACAGAGAGAAAACAGTCTGCCTCTAGAAATACAATATAAGTAGTGCTTCAGGCAGAAGTGAGTTCTGATTGAATGCTCCTGAGAGAGCAGTTCGCATCAGAAGATCCTCAGAGAACTATCTTCACCAGATGGAAGACAGACCAGAAGAATAGGAAGACCCAAGGAAGATTTCCCCAAAACCTCAGCTAGAGAGCAAGATACCGCCCCTACCATATTAACGAGACCAACACATCCCATTCTTACAGCCTGTTTAAATCAATAAGCCATCTCCAATTGCCACAGTTGTATACTTTCTTGATCTAATTAACTCATGTACCATATTTAAACTGGTGCTTCTTAACAAACTTAATGATCTATCACAAAATTGCTACAAATCATTGACTGCTTAGACTAGGGTAACTGTGATTGTAAGCCCCCTAAAATCAACAAAAGGGACTGCTGCAAGCACAGAGTTGCAAGTGCCACAGAGAATGAGTTGGAGGTATTTGAGGGATATCATGATAGAGAAACGACTGGTATTGGCAGGACACACACTTTGTCTCCTGAATGTAAGCGCTGCCACAGTGGCAACAGGCCAGATCGGCAAGGAAAGCGAGGCCAGCTAAAAAGACCAAGCAGCTACTGAAAGGATACAGAAGAAAGTACATATTCAGGGGAATTAGTATGCAAATTGGGAATGTTTTGACAAGATATGAGAAGTTTGATCAGTGATTTTGTTTTCTGAGTTCTACAAGGGCTAGATAATGTTGATAATGACAAGTTGTTTCATCTCGTCCAGAATGCTGAAACCAGAGGTTGTGACCTGCACTGGAACAGGGTAAGTTTAAAATTTGCTGCAGGAACAATATTTTGAGGAGTCAATCTGTGAAGCTGACTCCTTGGGAAGGTGGCAGAAGCTATTTGTAACGATTTATTCAAAAGCAAATTAGATCACCACCAATGACGCAACCTCCACATGGGAAGGAAGATTATGCACTCACGTCTGAGGAAGACAGGGCATATTAAGGAATCTGTAGGATATAGTGAGTTGAGTAGAAGTAAAAGTATATGAAATGAGTAAAAGAATTTGATAATGGTTTATGATGAAGTAAGATGAATGGAGACGTGTGGAACAGAAACACTAGTACAGACCAGTTGAGTTGAATGGACAGTCTCTGTACTGTAAATTCTGTGTACTGTCTGTAGCCTGCCCCTACAGAGGACTGGTCAGATTTGCTAATGGGACATTGTGAGGTGAGATAACTGATACTGGCAGGACATGACCTAGAAGGTGACACAAGGTATGCTGATGGGGCTGAAGGAGGTGTTAAGTTTCAGGGTTCCATACATGCTGTACATATGCAAACACTTATCTGACAACTTGTTAGCAGTTATCTCGTTGGTTCATTATAAATCAAGCCTAAAGTAGAGTCATACAGATCTACAGCACAAAAAGAGGCCCTTCATCCATGCCACTTAAAAACAACCACCTAACTATTATAATTCCATCTTCCAGCACTCAAACCATAGCTTTGTGTGCCTTGGCATCATAACTGCACATTTAAATGCCTCTCAAATGTTCTGAGTGTTTCTGTTTCTATCACCCTCACAGACAGTGAGTTCCAGATTCCTGCCACCCTCTGGGTAAAAAAAAAATTCTCACATCTCCTCTAAACCTCCTGCCCCTTAACTTAAATCTATGCCGGAGAGAAGTTTCTTCCTGGTTACCCTATCTATGCCCCTCATGAGTTTATATATCTCAATCGACACTGCTCTAAGGAAAACCCCAGCCTGTCCAATCTCTCTTCACAACTGAAATTCTTCAGCCCAGGCAACATGCTCGCAAGTCTCCTCTGCACACTCTCCAGTGCCATCACATCCCTTGTTTAATGTGGATTCAACAATAGTCTAGCTGTGGCCCAACCAATGTTTTATACAGTTCCAGCACAACCTCCGTACTCTTAAACTCTATGCCTCAGATAATAAAGGCAAATATCCCATTTAACCACTTTATCCACCCTTCTTGATACCTTAATGGACCAGGGTCCTACTGTTCATCATAGCGGCACGTGGCTCAGTGATTAGCACTGCTGCCTCACAGCGCCAGGGACCCGGGTTCGATTCTACCCTCGGGTGACTGTGTGGAGTTTGCATATTCTCCCCGTGTCTGCGTGGGTTTCCTTCAGGTGCTTCGGTTTCCTCCCACAGTCCAAAGATGTGTATGCTAGGTGGATTGGCCATGCTAAATTGCCCGTAGTGTTCAGGGATGTGTAGATTAGGTGGGTTATAGTGGGGTGGGTCTAGGTGGGATGCTTTGAGGTTCGGTGTGCACTTGTTGGGCCGAAGGGCCTGTTTCCACACTGTAGGGATTCTATGATCTATGATATACACCCTTCCCCTATTTGTCCCACCTAAGTACATCACTTTACATTTACCTGGATTGAATTCCATTTGCCAGTGATCATCTCATCTGATTAGCAAAGAATATTTCTTTAAAAAGTATCAAAGTAGTGTGGGTGAAACTCAACTCAATTGGTTTATCGCAGCAATCATATCCAGAGGCTTTTGTGGAAAGAGGCTATGTCCTAAGTCATATATGCTTTCAAAGTCCATTTTGCCCACTTTTATCTCTTCTCCTAATGGAATTACATTTGTGTTTCCAGCCAAGACTTACAGATATCTAGAAAACAGTGAAACATATTACAAACTAATGAGTCAAATTATGAATTTATTTGATTGCTCCCTTTTCATCTGCTGTAAACATTTAGAAAAGGCTGTGATTACATTTCAAGGGGGGAAAAAAAACAGAGTGCAATAATTACTGGTAAACATACACTATGAGACTATTTTACTAACAGATACACCCAAGAACAGAAGCAAATTGGTCATAAAAGCTTTGGCAGATTATTCTCTTTATGTTATTTGCTATTCCTGTCACGTTCACAAATGAGAAAAGACATTGGTTCCTGTCTCTGATCTGCTCACTGAGATCTGGTCCATTTTAATCAAATTATAAAGGCGACACTTTGGCTGGAAAAACACGATTGAAAGAGTCACGAATGCATGATTGAAAGATGTTATTAACCAGACACAGTCTTTACTCTTAAAAGCATTGAAGCAGGTGAGTGTTTGCATGGACATTTTTTGCAAACTCTTGCAGCATATTAAGTTACAGTATATTAGAATGAAAGGGAAAACGTTAAATTGAATTAAAAATGAAGAGCTGCAGAGTTATTCCCATTTCTTAACAAAGTTTGCTTCTGAAGAGACAACTTGCAATATCCTGAAGAAGAGTCACCATACTCAAAGCACTAACTTCACTTCCCTCTAACAGATGATGCCAGACATGCTGACTTTCACCAGCAATTTGTTTTTGTTTCAGATTCTCCAGCATCTGCAGTTCTTTGTTCTATTTATTTACAATATTGTTGACTTGATTAATAAGTTTCGACTTTCACTATGTGATCATTGAAAATATGTTCCTCAGTTAAAAGTCAAAAATTACTCTGTCTTGCTACCTGCCTTCCTCCTGTATAAACATGATGGAAACTATAATGTCATGGACTGCCAAAATATGAAAATTTTAAGATCCTAATCAAAACCCAGTCAAATAGAAGATTTTGTTATAATGGTGGCTGCTCTGGTGGCATTAGTGGTTTTATGTTCAGGAGTAAAATCACTCTATATCAAAGGGCTTGAATCATTTAGTAGGGGTTTCCGTGAAGGTGCTACACATATGTGCATGTCAAAGATTGCTCCACAGCTTGGCAGTACAATTACTTCACTATAGAAATAAATGTTACATTAAGTAAAACAAATATAATAAATATATGCTGAATGAACGCTACCTCTTTTTAAAATATAAAACATACTTCATTGTCTACATGGACTGTGTAGGTTTTTCAAATCAAAATGGAGATGGGTTTGGAAACAAAAAGGTAGTGAGCCCTGACATAGAAAAGCAAAGAAACAATTTGCATATACATCGATGTATACGACTCAAATCACCTCATCACTCAGTGTTTCATGAACAATTATATTTGAAGTGTTGCTTAAGTAAATATGGCACCCAAATTAGACACAGCAAGGTCCTAAAAGAAAAGCAACAGAGAATGGTACTCGGTAATCAGCAACTCTTCCCAACTCTGCACCATTGTGCCATCACGTCTACTGGATCTGTCCAGCTGGTGCAAAGGAGATATCCAGGATGGTGATGGTGGTGTCTAGGACATTGTAAGGTATGATTCCGTGAGTATGACTATATCAGGCTTTTGCTTGACTAGTCTGTGAGACAGCTCCCTCAATTTTGGCACCAGCCCCCAGATGACAGTCAGAAAGGGCTCTGCAGGGTTGACAGGGCTGTTTTGTCTATTGTCATTTCCAGCGCTTAGATTGATGTCAGATGTCTTTCTGGTTTCACTTCATTGTTCAGACTTCGTAGTGATATTGGCGATGACTGAGAGATCAATGTTCACCAAAACATCGGGAAAATGCCACTCCCCCATTTCTCTTCCTTGTAAAGTGCTGTAAAAGAACATAAGGACTTAAGAACCAGGAGCAGGAGTAAGCCATCTGGTCCTTCGAGCCTGCTCCGCCATTTAATAATATCATGGCTGATCTTTTCATGGCCTCAGTTCCACTTACCCACCCTCTCACCATAGCCCTTAATTCCTCTACTCTTCAAAAAATTATCTATCTTAGCTTTAAAAACATTCAATGAGGAAGCCTCAACTACTTCACTGGGCAGGGAATTCCTGAAAACCAAAAGGCCTGAATTTAATATCATCTGTAAGCTTCTCTCTAAAGAATGAATCATCTAAGTTTTTTTCTGTACCTCCCTTTTAACTTGAAATTATGGATTGGCCTCATGGTCCTTTTCTTCTCTGTAATGTTTCTGGCACTTGAATGTTTCTTTTAGTCAGTTCATCTAAAAGGTGGTTCTGACACAGCATGAGACTACGCTGCTTTGGATTTGGCCTCCATTAGTTTGGCATAATTGCATAAGTCTGTTTTATTTGTTGATAACGACTTTATAATGATTGGATACAACCTGTATTGACTTTTTTAAACTATCTGATATCTCGTTCAGTTATGTCCCCAGCCAGTTTGACGGCATTTATTAAATAAGTGCTCTATTTTATCTTCCACCTTAAATGTACTTACATTGAAATTTACTAATTTACATGGTGTTTTCAAATCCAAACTGTAAATTTTATCATCTGCTCCCTTTCTATTATTCCAATATGTTTGCGCAGTACATTTTTTCTGCTCTGCTTATGATGCATAAATTATGCAAGAGATTTCAGCTACTTAATATTGCTAGGAAAATCATAAACAAGTGTATTTGAAAACTATTCGCAATTTCACTGCAAACTTGAAACATGCCTTCTGTTTTGTTCCAGAGCAGTGACATGGGAGGTGGTGGATATAAAATTAAGCAATATCCACACCAACTGCTAAAAATTTAAACAGGAAATAATTTAACTCATCTGCTTCCAGGATTGAGGTGACATGATCAACTTATGTAAGAACATTACAAGTGAAGACAACCTATTCTAACTCCAAACAGCTGATTCAAGACAGCAGTGGAAATTCAAGAACAAAAACAGAAGTTGCTGGAAAAGCTCAGCAGGTCTGGCGGGATCTGTGAAAAAAAAATCAGAGTTAACGTTTTGGGTCTGGTGACCCTTCCTCAAAAAACGTTCCTTGAAACATTAACTCTGATTTTTTCTTCACAGATGCCGCCAGACCTGCTGAGCTTTTCCAGCTAATTCTGCTTTTGTTCTTGACTTACAGCATCCACAGTTCTTTTGGTTTTTATTTAGCGGAAATTCAAGCTTTGACCACCTTTTCAACAGGATAATATTAACCTCAGGATTACAAGGTTTTGTATGCTTTAGTAGACATTAGATCATTTCATTTACCTAATTTCTTACTGATTCAAGTACCTATAGTCCAACAGAAAGTAAAATAAGATTTCTTGAAAGGTAATTGTCACTTCACTCAAAGCAACCTAAAACTGCATATATAACTTCTTCGCAATGCAACAAACAGAAAACTTCACCTAACAAATGTCTTACAGAACTCGAATGGAAAAGTTTAGCTGCGGCCAAAGACCGGATAAACCTGAGTTGTTTTCTTTTAAGTGATGGAGGTTGAGCAGATATGTAATAGAATAATAACGAGTCTGGATATAGTGATTAAGAAGACCTGATTTTCTAATGCAGAGATCAATAACCATAGGACATAGGATTAAACTAATTAACACAAGGATCAGAGAGAAGGAGAGAAGGTTTCTCACTTAGAACATGTCAGTAATTAGGGGTCGCAATTTCAAGATTGTCAGCAAGAGAGCTACAGCGAAAGGAGGAGAAAAGTCTTTAGTCAGATAGTTGTTAGGATTTGGAACGCGCTGCCTGGGAAAGATGGAGGTAGATTCCATTGGAGGTTTCAACAGATAACTGGATATTTGGTTGAAAGTGATTAAGTTAGAGGAGTATGGAGATCATAGAATTCATAGAATCCCTACAGTGCGGAAGCCGGCAATTCGGCCCAACATGTCCAACTCTGAAGAGCATCCCACCCAAACCCACACCTCTACCTCCGTGACCCTGCATTTCCCATGGCTAATCCATCTAGCCTGCACATCCCTGGACACTATAGGCAATTCAGCATGGCCAATCTACCTAACTTGCACATCTTTGGACTGTGGGAGGAAACCAGAGGACCTGAAGGAAATCCACGCAGATACAGAGAATGTGCAAACTCCACACAGACAGTCGCCCGAGGGTGGAATCAAACCCGAGTCCCTGGTGCAGTGAGGTAGCAGTGTTAACCACTGAGCTACCGTGCTGCCCTATATATAGGGAGATAAGGCTGGATAGTTAGGTTAGCTGGGTAGCTCTTTTGGGAGCCAGTACTGACATGATGGGTCAAATGACCTCCTTCTGTACTGTAAAATTCTATAATTCTATGATAACAATGGCAGCGTATCTGATAGTGCCTTTTACATGTCAGACACTGAGATACGCTGAAATCTAACCAAGAGCTGGAAAGTGGGATAAACCGGATGATGCTTCTTCGGCCTTTATGGACACGAGCTGAATGATCTTCCGCTATACTTAAACCTTCATCATTCTATGAAGACAATACTCTCTCCTCTATGGATATATGAAACATTTTAAATAACTTGTTCTCCCATGACATCGTACACAAAGGAATTCAGACCTGCAATGTGCTGATAACCTTTATCTTGATGTTCACAAATGATGTGATGGGATGTTTTAAAAATCTGGGCATAATTCATCACATTTTTTTAAGAATATAACTTACAGATTTACGAAATGAAGTTTTAATTGTAAAAAAATTAGAGAATTTCACTTAGAAATTGATAAGCAACCCTGACATAAATGCAATTCAAATAAGCTTGGAGGTGCCACCATGTTGTGAAAGTGTGCCTCTCGCAGGGCTTTTTACCTGATGCACAATTATGTTATCCCTCATAACAAAAAAACTGAGCTTGGGTGTAATGGTATTGAAGAATCCAACTCATAATTATTATTGTTCAAAATCACATACAAACAGTTCATTTGCAGGCCCATACGTATCTCAGCTAACGTTAAGACATTACATCTAAGGACCATGCCTCCAGTAGCCTGTCATGCTTCAAGTGATCACGGGATAAGATCTGTTCAGATGCCCAGATTCAGTGATAATATCATGCTCATATCTCCTTAAGGTATACTAATGTAGTGCCCATGAGGCATAACACAGAAACTTATGTTCATCTTACAAAGTTAGAATTGATAGAAAATAAAACATAAATGATAGATGAAAAACCAAAGAACTGTGGATGCTGGGAATCAGAAAGAAAACTTATTGGCAAAACTCAGCAGGTCCAGCAGCATCTATCGAGAGAAAGCAGAGTTAACGTTTCAAGACCAGTAATCGTTCTTCAGCACGGATTGCAGCTGGGGAAAGGTTTATATATATGTATATTCTGAAGATGGGGGCAGGGCGAGGGGGGTGAAGGAGTAAACAATAGGTGGAGCCCAAAGAGTGACAGAGAGAGAGAAACTGTTGGATAGACAATGGAATGGATAAAGGTCGGCCTGGGAGAATAAATACCTGCTAATGGAGACCATTGCGGCTGACAATAGGTTGTTTATGGTAGCAGTCCATGTGATGAAAAGGCCTGGTATATGGGGGTTGTGGCCAGGACATGGAAGAAGGTGTTCAAGTCCTAAAATTATTTTTTCATAGAATCCCTACAGGTGGAAACAGGCCCTTCGGCCCAACAAGTCAACACTGACCCTTGAAGCACCCCGTCCAAACTCATACCCCTATAACCACCTAATCTACACATTCCTGAACACTATGGGCAATTTAGCAGGGCCAATCCACCTAACGTGCACATCTTTGGACTGTGGGAGGAAACCGGAGCATCCAGAGGAAACCCACACAGACATGGGGGTAGAATACGCAAACTCCACACAGACAGTCGCCTGAGGCTGGAATTGAACCCTAACCCTGCTGCTGTGAAGCAGCATACTAACTACTGAGCCACCATGCCGCCCTAACAACTGTCGAAGTTGATATTGATTCCAAAAAGCTGCAGAGTTCCCAAGCGGAAAATGAGGTGTTATTCTTCCAGCTTGTGCCCGAGACAGAGATGTTGGCCAGGGAATTTAGTGGTGTGTTGAAATGGTAGCCAAACAGAAGCTCATTTTTCCGGACAGAAAGTAGGTGTTCTGCAAAACGATCGCCCAGTCTACACTTCCTCTCCCCAATGTACAGGAGACCATTCTGTGAGCAGTGAATACAGTAGACTAGATTGAGGTAATCTCTAACAGAATGAGAACAATAACAGAAATTGCTGGAAAAACTCAGCAGATTTGGCAGCATCAATGGAGAGAACGTAGCATTAGTGTTAACTTCTGCTGAATTTTTCCAGCAATTTCTGTTTTTATTTCTGATTTCCAGCATCTGCAGTTCCTTCAGTTTTTAAGAATCAAAACGAGGGTACACTTTAAAAACATCAGCAAAAGAATGGCAGCTACAGTAAAGTGATTCAAAATTAAGTGCATGAGTTGAGGAGCATAAATTAAAATAAAATATACTTTTATTAATGACAAGAAAACTTATCTCAAAGAAAACAAACTTATATAACCACCTACTAACGTGATTGAATCATTATTGATAAATTTTACAGCAGCACTAAGACAATAAGCTAGAGCACCAGGCACCACTGCGTTGAAACATTCATACATCAGCAGACACCAGAAAATGAATGTATTAATGCATGAGACTGAATGGATTAATAAGCTGATGGAGCAGCAGGTACACTAACAAGTAAATAAGCTGAAAGGAGCAGCAGGTATCAGCAAATTGATAACAAGTGTCAGTAATTTAATAAATTCATAAAGCACTGAGCACTCCAGTAGGTCAATAATTAATGGGGCAGTGGACACAAATTAATTAAAACCCCATTAACAGTTCAATGGAAGAGGAAGAGGCAGTGAATT